TTCGGGTTGCGACCAGAGTCGTGGAACGAATTAAGTTCGTGAACCGAGGTACCACTGTACTGAGGGATGCTATAGTTCAGCAACATCTGGTTTTCCATCTCTTCTCCATGGAGAAAGAATTTCAGCCACAACAAAGAAAACACTTTCTCTGTTTTGTTGCCACATGATGCACTCTTCTGCAGAGGTACCGTCTGCTTCCAGAGGTGCCTAGGTCATGTTGAATGTTTTAAAATAGCATCTTCTCTAACTGAAAGTCATGTGATTCTGTAGAACTCTGTTAGGTTGTCCTGCTAATTCTGTAACTGGAGCATATTGTCCGTCTCTGTAGCATCACCTAGTGGTGCAATATTTCTCATGCAACCATTTATCCACTGAATTGTTTTCAGTCATGGCAGCGTGTTACTTATACCGACAGAGGGATTCATGCAATTCATCGCTCTACACTGAGATTAAGCAATCATAGTGATACAACCTCGGTCTAATTGCCTCTGTCAAGTCCAAAGTTTTCTTACAGTTGTAGATATAAATAGATAGATTTCTGTCCTCTTACAGTAGAGCTATAGAGTTACTAACTGAGTGATACTCAGCTGAATGTTCAGGTCTGATTTTTATATAAAGACAAATTGTAAGCTATTAAGTTTGAACTGTTTTGTTTCAAACACAGGTGGAGAAAATTGTACATCTGAATATCCCCTCCATCTGTATTTTTTTCACAAAAGGATCTACACATACTAGCAGTTTGATGTTTATGAAACACCAAAGGGCATTCATTACAGAAATGCCATGATTCACTTTAAAAACTATTTTGGTTTGTGGCTATTTTTGTCTGGCTGTTTCTTGTCCTCTGCTTATTGTACATAATAGCCAATAAGATGACTTTCTTGCAAAGGATCTTTTTGTCTGCTACTACCTTGTTCTCCAAGGAGAAGGAGTGAAGAGAGATAATTCACAAGTTTAATTACATTTTCTGGTGAACTCACAAATCTGCCACTTACCTTTTCTCTCTAGCTCTCCTCCAGAGCCAAAGACCCCCCCTCCCTCTGGTAGCCATTAGCAGCATTGCTGAGGAAAGGGACTCTGAGAAAGAAAAAGATGAGGATGATCAGCTGGGAGAGAGTGCTGAACTGGCAGAGGCTGAAGAACACATCCTTGAACACTTGCCTCCTAAATTGAATCAAGGTAAGGTCTTTTGTTGGAGAGGAAAGTTGCTGTATTGCTTTATCTCCTCTTTATCTGAGCTCTTCATGTTCTCGATCAGTTTTTCCTGATTTGGCCATCCTCCAGATCCATGGACTTCAACTCCCAGGATTACCAGCCAACATGGCTCTTGCTGAGAATCCTGGAAGTTGAAATCTACTGGAATGGCTGTTCTAGGTGTGCTTTTTCAGAATTTGGATAAGCTGAGCAAAGGAAAATGTGTCCAAACATAGACATAGTCATTGCCCTTGGTGGTGGTGAAGGAGAAGGAGAAGGAGAAGATCATATAATTCTTGTACCCAATACTTTGTTCAAGATAATCACAGACTAAACTAAAATTCCCTGGCTCTGCTGAGGAAACTGACAGTTCCTTGATTTTAACTACACAATTGGTGATTGGAATTCAAGTTCTTAAGATCCATTTTGGTTTGCTGTGAAGTGGCAAGATATCTATGAATATAAGAGAGCCAGTTTGGTGTAGTAGTGAAGGTGCTGGGCTAGAAACCAGGAGACTGTGAGTTCTAGTTTTCCCTTAGACATAAAAACCAGCTGGGTGACTTTGGGCCACTCGGTCTCTCTCAGCCCAACTCACCTCACAGGGTTGTTCTGGGGAAAATGGGAGGAGGAAGGAGTATTAGGTATGTTTGCTGCCTTGAGTTATATTTTAAAGAGGTGGGATAAAAATATGATGATGGTGATGACGATGATAATGATAATGATAATGATAATAACAACAACAACCTTCATTGTCCTAAGAATAAGTGAGAACAACAGGGTACCTGTCAAATGTCTTGGAAAGATTATGGACCAAAAATGTAAATCAATTCAATTCAAGAAGAGTTCTAATTGTTGGTTTTTTAACTGAATTTTTCTTTATTTAGAATCTCATGAGGTAATAATAGGGGTGTCATTTAAGTCGTGGATAAGTGCAAATTTGGGGAGGGCCTATAACAGGCAAGGTAAGGGTTAGCATTGAAGAATACAATCCTTTGCAGCTGGATTAGAAGTGCAATAATTAAATGTAATAAACGGGTTGAATTTTAAAAGAGTAATTGGGTTCTGCTCTCAAAATTTGGCAAGGGACATTGATTTAATGTATCTTCTCCACCTGCAGCACTCTTGGAAGCCTGTACTGAAAGGAGGGGATTATTCACTTGTGTTGCCAACCTTCTACCTGTGCGTCTGGCCTCTACTTTGATGCTGCCATATACTCTTCCTCTAGAGTCTGCTCTCTCCTTTACAGTCAGGTACATTCCGAATCTGCTTCTGAGACTGTGGGGGCAAAGAACATTGGTAGGACCTGCACTGGATGTTAAATGCATTTTCAGCAGTCAGTTAAGAAGTTAGTATTTAGCTGCATTTCTTGCTAATAAAGCAGAGGTAGAATCATTTAGATGGAATTCCTTCTGAGTCAGTGACCTCTCCTTTCGTGTAGTTGGAATGAACACAGAATTTGCATTTTAAGATTTGGGGTTGGGAGAGATTTGAGTCCTGGTGGCTTGTAAAGCTTGAAATCATGTAGGTAATTAACATGATTAGAGAGACAAGTGAGTTGAAAGTTGGGTGTAACTGTTCAATTAAAAATGTAACTGTTAGTGAGGATCTCACTGCAAGGCAGAATCAAAAATTGTTATGCTGCAAAATAACTGTGTATTTTGATTGATTATGTGCCATCAAGTCAGTGTTGACTCTTAGTGACCACATAGTCAGATTTTCTTCAGGACAATCTGTCCCTGACCCTGGCCAATTTTCACTTCCATAGCTTGTCTCAGGGAAAACCATTGCTTGCACCATTCTGAATATCTTGGCATCTGAATATTTTCTCTTTCAAGGCTTTCTCATTCTGCTTCCCTTAATATATAATCAGCATATAGGTTGAATATACAAGGGGACAGTATACAGCCTTGTCTCACTCATAGCCAGTCTATTTCATCATATTCTGTTCAAACTGTGGCTTCCTGACTTGAATATAAGTTTCTCATGGCTAATGAGATATTCTGAGATTCCCATTTTCCTAAGGACATTCTACAATGTGATATGCTCAACACAACTGAAGGTCTTTTCATAATCAATGAAGTACATATTGACTTCTTTTTGTTATCCTCTGGCTTTCTCAATTTTTCAGTATGCATCTGCAATAAATATCTTGTTCCTCAACCTTTTTAATAGTCAGCTTGAACATCTGGCATCTCCTTTTTCTTATTCTGCATTGGATTATCCTAAGTATTTTGCTAGCATGTGAAATTAAGGATATTGTACAATTGTTTGCACATTCTGAATGTGTATTATTTTGGCTATAAATCACATGGAGCTATTTTAACTCCAGCTAATTTCCTTTTAAAACATTTTTACATGTTGGTTTTTTGTCAGAAGTGATTCCTAAGCAAAATACATAAGAGCAAGGCAACAACAACAAAAACACAACTACAAAATGAAAATTAACAAGCAATTTAAGAGGT